ACTGCTGAAACTGGTGTTGCATTTGAGTGCATTGCCACTGAGCATGAGGCAGGAGCAATAGATCTTGATCTAGATCTTGATGGTGTTGATCTTAAGTTGTACGGTGTTATTGTTACAGGAGGAGAAACAGTGGGACCAGCTGCCTGCATAGCAGTAAATGAAGAGTTAGATGAAACACTAGCAATGCTTTGATCAATCACAGTGCCAAGCTTCTCAGTCACATCCCTCTCCAAATCAACCAACTCTTTTCTGAGTTTAAGTATCTTTAATAGAGTGTTTAGACACTTTTTACGGCATACAACTTGCTTTTTGAGAAATTCGCCAAGATCTAAGTTACACGAATTCTTTAATAGAGATTTCAGACAGCTTAAAATATCTTCTTTGGTCTTGAGGAAAGCTCTGCTGCCAGGGGGAACAGAAACAGTACATAGAAGGCAATTCATATCCACGTGGCGTCACGCTTACGATGGTGTTTTGTCACGTGAACAAAGCCATAGCAATGACACTAATTGCATTCCTCTGTGCACAACTTTTCTACACAGTGTCCCCAGACCCTTCCGCTCTCCTCCGCAGCAAGGGGCGTGGCGAGACTAGCAGTAGTACTAAACTCTGCTGATGACCAGCATATAATGTAGCTAAAGGATTACTACTCTTAAATAGTGTAGCTCCAGGATTCAATTCTGCCTTGGGTGGTTTGATGCTTTTATGACAGATACTAGTATGGTGCTTTTCCCCCGCACTTAAGACAGTTGAAATTACTACGACACTGTTTTGCATTGTGTCCCTTCCTCAGACACACGTAACACCTTCCCCCTAGTCGTAGCTTCTGCTTTCTTTCTTCAATATCATTGACCTTTCTGCCACTGGAAGGTGGCTGGAAGGTGAGTGCCCGTCTATACCACAATAGCAACAAGTACTCTGTTTTGGCATTAGTATAAAGTGTAACTCCTGTACACTTTTCCTTTTCTCTTGAGTGCTTACCAACATCTTTCCCCATTCCTTATCTCTTGGGATACCAGACCCTGCTGGCTTTGATTCAGTGGACATGGGTATAGTCTTTGATATTGGTAGGGTTCCGAGAAATTCTATCTCGTACCCTGTTATGGTATTCAGGACCCACCGGTCCTTGGTTACTTTTTGCCAGTTTGTTATAAAATGTGCCAGCCGACCTGCTGGACTTGACTGAATATTGAGGGGAATTATCCCCTTTGCTGCACTTGTTGACTGTATTGACTGAGTATTTTGAATCAATGATTTTTTGAAAATGACAAGGTGGAGTACATGTACGAGTTATTGACGGAGAGTTTTCTCTCCTGACTTGTGGTTGTATGTGGGGTGACTGCCCCTTCCTCTGGCCTAGCCCCTCGCAGAGGGGTGGCCTCTCTAAAAAACATGCTCACTACCCTGTGGTCTGTTATAGTTGTGAGAGGAGTGCTGTCTAATAGGGAAGGCTGCTGCCTTGAGGGATTTCACCTGGTCCAGATGATCCTTCGCTCACTTTGAAAAATCTGAACCAAACAGATTAGGGGCAGCTTCAATAAAATCTGCATCATCTTTGACCAGTAGGAGTAGGGACAGGTGTGAGACATGTGCAGAGTCATTGCCAATTAGCTCCACAGCTGTCAATGCCGCCTGCTTCATATTCCCAACTGACACCCTTTCATGGGCTATCTGCTCCAGTAGTAAGGACAGGGGTGCCATAGAGTCCAGAATAAAAGTTTGGATTCTAGCAAAATTCCTATCAGCTGTTTTCGCTGGCTGAGATGCCAGGGATTTGATGATGGGGTCTACCTTTGGAGTCCCGGTAGCCTCAACTTTTGTGAGTTTATAGGTGCTCCACACTCTTTTCCTCAATTCATTGGACATGCTCCACATGCATGAGACTTTTAAAAATCTATGAGTCTCGTCCGAGACTTCCGGTAGATCACCTCCATCTTTGTCATCTGATGGGTAGGGGGGAGTGGTTATGTGTTGTAAGTTACTGGTAACTGTAATGAACAGTTACAGGTATGAGCAATGGGCCGTCTTGCAAAACCTTCAAGAGAGCTAAATGTAACAGTGATGCCCTTTCCAGTAAAAACATATGATCCAGTTACATATCTCAGAAAAAGTGATACTGTGTTTTTGCTTGCACTGCCAATGTATTGCCTCAGGTACATTAATACCCTTTCTTGCAAAGGAGTTTCGGTTATGGAATTAGACTCAATAGACATTAAAATCTTCTCAGGTGAAGAACACATAGCAGAATAGATAGCATAAATGTCAGACACAGATATCTTTCCCCAAAACCTCCTATGCATCTCAGGAATACCAGAACGAATCATTTGAATAGCTGCTGCAGGTTTCAATAGAAATTCACATTTTGCTATTTGGAGAAGAATACTCTCTAATTTAGATGGGGATGGTATCTGTCTAGAACCATAGAAGCTGAACAGACTGACTAAATTACTGGAAATTTTCTCCGAAAACAATGTGTTTCCATTTTCTACCTGATGTTTGGCCTCTTGACGTACTTCAGCATCATACGAGCTTAGACTGTTCAAAAGAACATCAATTAACTTGTTGTCTGGAATACTAGTTTCATTGTAGCATTCCAATAACATTGCTGCCAAACATGGGAATGCAACTCGTACTGGTAAAATACCAGTAACTAAGTAAGAATGGGATATAATTGAGCCAATGACTCTAAGTGATTCAGAACTGATTCCCGGATGAACAGAAAGTGTCACTAGTGTGGAACCTTCAAAGAAATGAAGATACATTTCCTCAAAGAAGGATGAGAAAACATCCCGTGCCACACCTCCCGTGTCAACAGCCACCTCCCCTCTATATTTGAAACGAAGGGGATAATGAGACAGAATTGTGGATTTCGAGTAGAGCTCCATGACGTCAGTATAGACACTGTCTCGTTTAATGAAATGAAGTCCACGACATAGATTTAATGAGGACATATAATCAAGACACTCTTTATCAGCTAAATGGAATAAATAATAATAATACAAATTTATGAGATACATTAATACCTGTTGCAAGACATGAGTTGAAATTCTTGTCACTTGTGCTTTGAAATATGTCCTGCTAAAATGTAGAAACAAATCATAAAACATAAATTCAATCACAATAGATCATACTTGTGTAGAATCACCATAAATTAGAGATGCTGAAATGTACCAGAATCATACTCAACAACTATAGTGGAACCACGGCATATTGCTGACTGCTGCAAAGCTACTGGTATTTCCTTCCGAGGATAAGTGAAAAGCAAAAATGGTGGGTTCACCTCACCCTTAGCAAATACATATCCATATAAATCCTATGTGTAAGAAATATGAATAGATATTACAGTATATACTATGTCCCAACTGAGTTTGGACCAAGAAAAACTGAAATAACTTTTTAGGAATGTGGGATAAGGATAAGACTTTCACAGGATAATTCTTCTTTTAAAAAGCTAATAGAGCGAGATCTTCTGATAATGATGGCCTTTATGAAGACTAGTTGACTCCAGGAACTATTGTACTGCTTATCAGGAAGAACAAGACTGTTTTAAGAGTGAAACAAGACAGCCGAAATATCGGCCATATCTCTATGAATATCATTATAATACGTCATTAGTGACATAGATACATTTTTCAAATTCCAATGCAGCTGCTTCCACTTCCGGTCCATTCTCAGTTGGGACATAGTATATTATAATATACTATTGTTAATCATTTTAGCAACATTTATACAACCTGTGGGTACACCATAGGCATGAGAAATATTGAATAATTAAGATAGTGCACATAATAACAAAAAAATATATTAGGGCTGAAACGAATACTACATTTACTATTGGAATAGTTGTGCATTTTAACGAACGAATAATCGAATAATTGGTTTATATAAACAATGTAAATCATTGATAAGATATTACACAATAGTGCGTGGGTGAGTGACAATTGTTAAACCACAAAAATGTACAGTTTACATTGGTTTAAATGGGGGGAGGTTCTTGTTCAAAAAGACTAGCATGTCAACATTTTCAGGTTTCAGACTTGCTCTGAGCTTGTTGACAATCATTCCAGAAGTTGAAAAAACTCGCTCTGCAGGTACTGAAGTGGTTGGGACACACATCAGTTTTCTGGCTATCTTAGATAATCTGGGAAATCTCTCCTCATTCTTCCTCCACCATTCCAAAGGATTACCATCTGGATTAAGGGGAGGCTCATTAATAAAGTATTGCATCTCCTGGTGACTGGTCATTGATGTAGATTGAGAGTTATCTGAGCTAAGTCCAAGAAGAAAGCTCATAGCACTATCACCTGTCTTGGTCTTCTTTGCTGGGAGTTCTTCTTCCTCATCTGTTTCACTAGCAGTGTTAGTGTCAATCAGACATGGGGTCAATTACATTAGAAAGTAATATATTACTATTACTATTAACTAGAAAAAAATTCTATTACTATTACAATTACATGTTTAGTAGATGTAAATGTAATATATTACTATTACTATTACTCCACTAATTTCATTATTACTATTACTATTACTGCATATGCATGACTAAATGTAATCTAATTATATTACGATTACATTATAATTTCAAATCAATTCTCTTTAAAGCAAATGACCATTACATTGTATACTTATAAGTTTCTCAAAAACAGTATCAGAAAGTCTGCATCGTTCCAGTCTAAAAAATTTCCCTCTTATACTGAATACCACTGGGCAGATGAACCTTTTGTCAGAGCAGACAGACTTGAATGCACATACATGTACCTGTACATGTACATTGAATACTTGTACAATAATGTATTACAATATGTACAATTACTATTATATTACTATTACTTAACTGTCTCCTACTATTACAATTACTATTACTTGGTTTTTTGATTCCTCCCATTACTATTACTATTACTATACTCAAA